TCTTCTTGACCCTCTCCGGAGTGCAAAGAAGTTTGGTTAAAATATTTTTAATTCCTAGTTTGAACCTTTCAAAGATTATTTCTCTATCTTTTTGTATTGCCCTAGGAACTACTTTTCTTTCACCCACTAGTTCAATGTGAATACCCTAATTTTTCATCCATAGCTCTCTCAAGTCATTATGGATCACATGTTTTAACTAATCAATTGGCCATAATGGAAAGTAAATTAAGCATAGAAAAATATTCATCACATTAAAGATGTAAAACCAACTCTAAAAGCATTCTAGTATTTTTATACAACATACTTATTCATCACAGGAGAAAGGTAAGCAGAACTACACATAATGCATGGAAGAAACACCACAAAAAATTTTTCAGTTAACGTAAATCCACTAGAATTGTGATTATAGAAAAGTACAATACCAAAGATGCATAATACTTAGCTTTTTTTCTCTTACAAAATGTTGTAAATGTCTCCCCAAAGGATCTCCCAATCCTTACTGCAATGTTGAGAATCTCTTCTCTAATACAACTCTCAATCCTCGCTAATATCTCAATATAATAATAAAAAAAAATACAGGTTACTATCTTAAGAACTCCTAAAGAATTCCCTTAGGGTTTCTGCAGCACTTGGCCTTCTTCTCCCCTTCTTCTCTTTTCTTCTCATCACCAAATACACCAATATAAGCTATGCATAACTCCCTAAATCATGTTTAGGTTTTCTCTTATTCCATACTTGTGATAATTCATTAATTTGTACTTAATTTCCTATTCAATCTGGTCAATTGGTATGTTAAAACTTGTTGTAAATCCATAATGACCCAAGAGGGCTATGCATTCCTCAACTTATAAAAATCACATTAATCTAGTGGATGATAAGGTAGTCCATAGGTTAGTGCAAATAGATATGGAGATAAATTTTGATGGGTGTAAATTGGTGATTCTAGTGTGACAAGCTAGAGCCTCAACCCATTTGGTCTAGAGTTTGGAACTTAAGGTTAGGTTAGAACAAAAATTGTGGGCACAGTGGGTAATCTAGAGTGACAGACTAAAACCTACCCATCATAACCTAGGATTTAAGAACCTAACTCTAGGTTAGCCAATGCTCATTATGCACTCAGAAAAGGGTAAATAATATCTATGCTTCTATTTGTCACAATATTACATTTAAACCTTTTAACATTTTATTCCTACACTGATTATGATCTCATTGTAAGCGGAAAGACTTTCATATAATTTGAACACTTATACATAAAGTTACTTTAGAAAAACTTAGCATTTTCTTTAAGTTTTGAAATTGAATTAGTAGAAATTAGTTACTTCTTTTTACACATAAACTTGCGAACTTATTTTCTAGATAATTGTCTGGAGTTTAAGTAAAGTTTTACTAAGTCCATAAAAAGAGTTTTCACCTTTTTTGTGGGATTGATACAGGGGTTTTAACAAGAAATCTTATATTACTTGAACGATACTTGCACTTACATTTCAATCCTAGTGAAGATTTGAAATCAAGAATTAGAAAATTTAATACCTACGTCACTGGGATTAGCCACTATAAAAATATAAAATTATATTATCATCATGGAAAGGGGGTCAAGTTTTTGGTGCCTTTATCAAGGAATAAAATTAAAGAAGATATACATAATGCAAGTACATCAAATTACAGTTCAAGCTTTTTGCGTCGTTGCAGGGGAAAGAATGAAGCGACAAAACTTTTGACTTACAAATTTTATCTGAACTGTAGACTTATTTTAGGAAAATTGTAGTGTTATTTATCTATGTTTGAGTATTTTTTAGTGTTTTGTTTAATTTTATTTCTGAACTTTTACTGTTGTATGCGCGAGCAAGATTTGAAGGTTTAGTATTTTACAATTATGAGTTTGAAAGAACTATAAGAAAAATCCGAAAAAAAAACTTCACAATTTGCAATAAATGACGAACACATCACATAGTAACATTGATAATCAAAATGTTGAAAATAAACATCATCACGTACAAAGACCTTGAAGGGACTATGCAAACTCTAAAACAAATCAAATTTACTTGTGCATACAAACCCCTGCTGTAGCAGCTAACTCATGTGAACTAAAACTTGCTATAATCCAAATGGTACAAAACAATCAATGGATAAATTTAAGATTTTTAATTGAACCTAAACATTTTCTTAGAAAGAAAATAAAAGCTATCAGATCTAGCCATGGTGAAGAATATTATGGTTGATATGATAGATTAGCTAAACAAAGGTTTAATTCTTTTGCCAAATATTTAGTAGATCGTGACATTATTCCTCTGTGCACCATGTCAAAAATTGCAAACCAAATTCACATTCTAATGACTATGGTTAGAAGCATGATAAATCATTACTCTTTATTAGAATCACTTTGGGGAGAAGCTTTAAAGATTATAGTTTATATCCTTAATAAAGTTCCAACAAATCAGTAACTAAAATCCCATATGAGTTATGAATTGAAAGAAGCCTACTATTAGTCATCTTCATGTTTGAAGATGTCAAGCTAAGCCTAGACCATATAAGCCAAATAAAAAGAAAATAGAACTGAAGAAATATTAGCTACTCTTTTACTAAATGCTCAGAAAGGTTAAGAGGCTTTAATTTTTATGACTCCTAAAAATATTTTTAGGTAATGCTAAATTTATTGTGGATGTTGAATGTGATGGGAGTAACAAATTTTGGAATTTTTTCTTTAAAGAGAATATATTACAATTCCTCTTATACAATTAAAAATGATCATATTTGCCTGATAATATTCAAGTTATAAATTAAGACAATCAAGATTTTCCTTAGTTACCTTCTATTCATATTGAAGAATCACAACAACTTCAATTTGAAGTGTCATTAAGAAGATTTAGTACGAAGAGGAGAATAGTAATTACATATAACTATTTCATATCTTTAGAGCATGAGTCTAATATTAAATTGAAAAGCGATCCAATCTCTTTTAGTCAAGTTAGATAGAGTGTTAAATCTCATAATTGGATAAAAATCATGGTTGATAAGATGATATCAATGAAAGATAATGCTATTTTCGATCTTGTTGAATTTATAAAACTAATTAGTTGTGAATGAATTTTTAGGATCTTGTTGAATAGCCTAAATTTATAAAACTAATTAGTTGTGAATGAATTTTTAAAATCAATCCTGATTCAAAAGACAACATCAAAAGATATAAAGCATAACTTAAAGCTAACAGTTTCACTCAGATGAAAGGTAATGATTTTAAGGAATTTTTTTCCCCAATTTCTTCAAAAGACTTTCAAAATCATTAGGGTACTAATCCTTTACTATTGGTGATATTGAAGAAACAATATATATGGTACAATCATAATATTTTTAAGTTGTTAATTCTAATAATTTGATTTGCAAATTAAAAAAAACTCCATTTATGATTAAAACAAACATCCTATCAATGATATAAAAATTTTGATCAAGTGATTGCCTCCTTTAGTTTAAGGAAAAAATTACTGATTAATGCATTTATTATAAAATTAGTGGGGATAAATTTATTATTCTTGAGTTACATGTTAATGATACTCTACTGGCAAGCAATGATATATGCCTTTTCCATTAACCTAAGATAATTTTTTTAAAAAGATTGAAATGAAAGTTCTTGGAAATGTTTCATTTGTGTTGGGTATACAAATTCATCGAGATCATTCTATAGGTATATATGGTTTATCACAATCAACATATATCGATAAAGTGTTTAGTAGATCTGGCATGAGGAATTGTGTGCTAGTAGATACACCTAATGCTAAAGATGCTAAATTTAGTATATTTCAATGCCTAATAACTAATATTGAAAAGAAAGAGATGAAAAGGAATTTGTGTACATATACAATAGGGACTTTTATGTATGATCAAGTTTGTATGTGTTTGAATAGTGATTACATTGTTGGAATGCTTGTCAAATATTTAAGCAACCCATGAATGGATTGTTGTACAATGGTAATGAAGTTTATGCATATTAAAAAGAACATGATATTTTAAGCTCACATATAGAAGATCAGATCATTTAGAGATCATAAAAAATTTGACTTCGATTTTATTGTTCGTCTCGATACTAGAAGATCCACTTCATGATTAGTTGGAAGTGTTCTGTCTTGGAAAAGCTTCAAGTCATCATTCATAGCTTCCTCTACAATGTGGAAAAAATTTGTGATTTGTTATAAGACATCAATCATGCTGTAAAAGTTCATC